TTTGCTGGGAATACTTGCTAATATTTGAAAAGAAAAGTCCATATACATATAATCAAATATAAATATACGGTGTTTCAAGAACAATTCTACATCGCATGACACAACTTGACACAATCCGAATATGAAACTTCGTAGTAAACTCAATAGAGATGACGATAACAGTAACATCATTTGCATGAAATATGCGACAATAATATCTGAACTATTTTTTGGCTGATTCACGCCAGGAGACTGAGTCTTTAATCTTAAATCGAAATATGGTTTAGTTTGTATTAGTATTTATTTTATTGTTTTTTTGTGATAAAATTTTTAAATTGTTTCTTTTCCTATAAATTTGCAATGCAGAAAGATAGCGTAAATCTATTTTTTCCATTGATATATGTATAGTAGAAAGCATTAATCTTATATTACAGTGTTTTAATGCATTGTTACGCTGTTTATTCGACCCTGTTTATTTCAGCCTTCATTAGATATTTTCTCATTTTTGGCGAGCTTCTTCTGGCTAAATGTGATGTGCTTGACATTTGGTGGACATTTAGGTAAGCAAATATGAAAAGAAGTGTTCCCTTATTTTTAAAATATGTATTATATATATTTTATATATATATATATATATGTATTATATGTATTATATATATATGTATTATATATATATATGTATTATATATAATTATAACCATAAATTAAAATATCTCAAAGATTCGAGTGTCGAAGTCACTTTTTTCGTTATGAACCAAATTTGTAACATCGTTACAAAAATAACAAAAATGCACAACAGCAATAATGTTATACGTAATGCATTATTTCCCAATTATTCATTTATTAATCTTATATATATATATATATATATATATATATATATATATATTTTAATGTGACTCAAGAGTTGTAAAAAATAACATATTTTTTGAATAAACTCAAAAAGAGTTGATATACGTAAATTGTATATGTAAATATTATAATTATTATCTATGTTCGTGATAATTTTAATAAAAGTAAAAAAATTATACAGTGATAATAGCAATACGAGTCAAGTGTCGATCCTATGACACAATAATTTATTATGCAAACAAATAAGCATGGAACATATTACAAGAAAGGATGGCGAATGTTTCAGCCCTATTTTTGGATCATCTTCAGCGCAAATATGATGATGTGATAAAACATAATAATAAATAACAAAAAGAATTTATATCGGAGCCAGTTACAGAAAAAGTCGTCTAAAGTAATAATGAATGTCTCGGTATCTTATCATCTTGACGATGCTTCCAGGCATCGAAGATTTTAATGAAATTATCTCAGGATATATGAAATTATGATGTGTTCTCGATTGCAATATACAACGCGCGGATATTTTCCTTTTTTCTTATTCACATAGGATATAAAAAAAAATTTATATTTTTTATCTCTAGCATATCAATAAAATTTCATGACATATTCATGGCAATATTATATCGTTATTTTCTTTCATATTATGCAAATTGATTTGTTATCGCTAAGCTTACATCGTAATTATTTTATGATGTAACGATTATCTGTGTGCGTAATATGTTTTGCGTAATATGTTTTTCTCTAATTAATTAAAGAAAAAAATTAAAGAAAAAATATCACTATGCAAGATCAAAAGTTAAATTTCTTTTTTTTCGCATATTTGCGTTGAATCTGTCTTTACGTGCACATAATTATGCATATATCTTCATCATTTTCACGCGAATCATTACTCGGTTAATTTAACATAACTTAATTTAATATATATATTTATTAATGATAATTACCAATTTTGAGCTATAATTTGATAACTCTTTTATAGATCCAGAAAAAAATACATTATATAATATATAATTTTTTACACATATTTTTATTTATAATATTTTTCAGATAAAGTAATCTTAGTATTATTAAAATCTCTTGTTTTTTAATAATGTTTTTTCAATATGGATAGAACAAATAATATATTAAATTATAAATGATAATATATATGTTTAATATATTTTATTTTACATCGATTATATGCCATTTATACGATTAGATAAAATGTTTCAAATAAAATTAACTGCTACATTTTATATTTTCGAGAATGTATATCCTCGAGTCATCTAAAAGCGATAATTATTTCAATATTTTCATGATTATTTAAACTTTGTCTTATTGTACTTATTGTTTTACTGACTAAATTTGAATGTAAACTATATTTTCACAGAGAATTCCGCTCGTCACAAGGAAACGTGAAACAACGAGAAAGAAAGAAATTCATAATATATTCGATCTACGCATGGGGAAGCGCATCTATCCTTACTATTATTTGTGGTATCATGGATTTTGTTCCCAGCGTGCCGAGAAATCTTATCCGACCGGAATTAGGCGTCAGAAGTTGTTGGTTATCTAGTACGTGGATATCAAACTTTATTATGATATTTTAGTCATATGCATTAAAGCTATATGCGATTAAATACTTTTATTATAAAATATAATAAAACTATAAATCTACAAATTTGAAATATATGTTTTATAGTAGTATATAAATATACATATAGATAATTACAAAAATATTATTTCTTTAAAAATATCTTTATTTACATCCTTCTACAGACTCATTTATTCGAGTCTGAATGCCTATAAAATATAATGACAAATTTATTTTCTGTTTTAGCAAAACCAGCGAAAACATTATACTTTTACGGACCTATGGGTATTACTGTTATTTGCAACATTTGTTTATTTATCTCTACAGCATTGAAAATCGTGGACCACAGAAAAAACACAGCTCATCATCTGAGAGGTTTGGAAAATCGGCGTCATAAAGAAAATAAGCAATGGTTCGTATTTGAGCCTTTTTGCACTATTATTGTTAATTATTCTTTTTTATCTTGATAAAGAAATATATTCTAGTATTTATAACAGTTTTAATGTGCATAATATTAATCTGTCCTCGTTTCTAATAACAAATTATCTAATTTTTTTTAATCAACTTTTTTATGAAATACAGTTTTTTACAATTTGTGATTCTCAGAAGATGACAAATGATATTTGTGTGAATAATTTATTGTGCATATTAATCTGTCCTCGTGTCTATCAATAAATTATCTAATTTTTTAAAATCAAATTTCTTATGAAATACGTATATCAAATTTCTTATGAAATACGTATATACGTAAATAGTTTTTTACAATTTGTGATTCTCAGAAGATGACAAATGATATTTGTATGAATAATCTATTATTTGTACGAATAAAATTATAATAAATATTCCTATTTTGCTTCTATTTCAAAGTAAGAATTATATAAAAACAAATTTCAAAATAAGAATTATATAAAAACAAATAGAATAAGATTTTAAAACGATATAAAATGAATAAAATTAAAAAAAAGTCAGAGTAAACAACAGATGCAAAACAATGTCTTCAAAAAATTTCATTTTAAATAGAATTATGAATAATTAAATTATTGAAGACAATTATTTGCATCTTAACTTATATTAGCCCATTATCTTACCTGTTTTATATATTGAAGTAATATTTCTTAAAAATTTCTTAAGAAACATTATTATTAATTATTTTCTAAGAAAAATTATTTGTTCTCTTTTTTAAATTTTAATCTATTTTTTTGTAAATTGATTTTATTACTTTATTATTATTACTTAAAAAAATATTTAAAAATAAGATAATTACAGATCAAAAATATTTATCTTTAAAGACCTAAAAGTTAATATTTCTTGTTTCTGAAATAGCAATCTTCCAATTTAATACGTTTTTTTTAATAATCGTATATATATATATATATATATTATATATATATATATATATACCCTAACAGCACACATGTCCAAAAGATGTCCAAAGGACATCCATAGAATATCCCGATCTCCTATGGATATCCTATGGATATCCTTTGGATATCTTTCGGACATGTGTGCTGTTAGGGTATATATATATACGATTATTAAAAAAAAAAAAATATATATATATATAATGATTATAATACTGAATCGTCGTATATTCGTAAAAATATATAAATAAATATTTCATTCGCAGGTTCAATTTGTATTTAAAATTGTTTATCGTAATGGGTATAAGTTGGTCTATGGAAATAGTGTCATGGCTGTTCGACAGTGTGCCGCAGTACGTCTGGTATCTTACTGATTTGATAAATGTCCTGCAAGGTCTCATAATTTTATAATTTTTGTGTGGAAGAAAAAAATTAAGCGATTGTTGCTGAAGCGATTTGGTTGCCAAAAACTAGAAACTTCCAAGACACTTGATGTGCACAATAATTACTAAAGCTTATATATATTAGTACCACTAATGCTAGTAATGATGATCCTACAAGAAAAAATCAATCCTTTTGTATAATAATAATTTATGAATATTAATTTATGTACATTTATATAATAGAATTTTGTAATTTGATGTGTTTATGGAAAAAATATATATATTAAAATATATATTAAAATATATATATTTTTCAAAGAATTTTTAAAAGAATAATATATGTTTAGTTAATATATGAAATATATTTTTTCGTTTCATTCTAAATGAAAAATTTTCATATTTTCATATATCAGATGATCAACAGCTTCTTTTTTCTATCTCTCTTCCTTTTTTTGTAATGAGCTGAATTCCATAAAGCGCATGCTGTGACACTGTAGTGTTGCCACATTAGAAAATTTTCCCCCAAATGTTAGTCTTTAGGAATTTTGTTTTTTTTTTAGGATATTTTAGGGAAATAAAAAGTCTAGTAGATTTTTTTAAAAAAAGCAGAGATATATAAATATATGCACTTTCTTACACAATTTTTATTAAAATTATTTTAGGAGTAAAAACATAAGTCACGCGATTGGCTATTGAATAAAAATTTTTTTAAATCCAGTGTTTCTTGTTGGAAAGTTGCGTTCAAAAATTTTCCTTGCAGTAGAGTAGTGTTTAATTCGACCAATCAGGACAGAAGAAACAAAAGTTCCTTTATTCTGATTGGTCAGTCAAATGCTATTCCATTCCAAGGAGTAAATTTTGAAACATTATATTGTTATATATAGTGAAATATGAGAGAGGAAAAGAGAGAATGAGAAAGAGAGAAAGAGAAAGAGAGTGAAATGGTAAGGGAAATCGAAACAACCGATAATTATTAGCTGTTTCAGTCACTATCTTTCAATATTGTTCAGTATGTTCGAAATTTTGGTTGCGAGGGATTGTAACTTATTATTTTTCTGAATGCAGATGCAGGAGCTGACGCTTGCGTTTTTTCGTAGTAATATCCGTGGTAAATGAAATCGCATGCTCTTATTGTAGCATGTATCTCTATTCGACAAATCATATAAAGATCCTCTTCGATTAATTGGCCTACATAATCGCTCCGATAATTATGAATTTGCAAACACTTTTTCAAGACTTCAATCCAAGGTAACTTTTACATTATTTGATATAATACATGATTTCAAGTATATTAATAATATAAATATGAAGTTAATTTTGATGTTAATTTTTAATTCCAGTAAATTTTTGGTACATTCCTGTTTAATGATATTTACATCTCTATTTGCTCTTCGATTGGATGGCTTCATAGAATGGAGTTACTGGTCAATATTTAGTCCGATATGGTTTTGGAAAAGCATGGTAATTTTGGGAGCTATAATTGGAAGTTATGTTTGGTGGAGACATCCACATGCAAGATTGGAAGGAGATGCCTATGTACATTATAAAGCGATGCTCATTACCTTGGCGTTACATTTAATTCTATTAATGTTTGAATTGTTGGTGTGTGACAAGTTAGAATCAGAAAGACACTTATGGATACTTGTATTTATACCCTTGATATTCATCTCAATAGTATCTATTGCGGTAAGTAATATACCTTTCAAAACTCAACAATTTGTATAATTATTTAATGTCTTCTGACAATATTTTATTGTGATTTAGGTTTGCATCTGGGCTGTCAAACACGATCGATCGTTTGAGCTCGAATTATTCTGTGCAGTAAATGTATTGCAATTTATTTTTCTAGCCTTGAGATTGGATGGTTTTATAACGTGGAGTTGGGAAGTTGTGTTTGTGCCAGTATGGGCATTGCTTTGTTTATCCTTAGTAGCTGTTTTATATGCAATAGTATTTGCTGCTGTTTTATTAAGAACACCACAGATCAATGCTCGTCAGAGGCGGACCTCCTTGAATTCGGCGTTAGCATATACATTTCTCGTCGTTCCCATTTTGGTGTTCCAGGTATAACTGCATCTTTTTATCTATTTACTTAAGTAGATCATATTCTATTTTCTTTTGTACTATTTATTTATTTATTATTTCCTGCTTTAGGTACTATTAGCAAATAAATTGGATGGAGATATTTCAATAAATTATACAACAGTGGCAATGCCACTCCTTGTGTCACATATAACTCTTATTTTTATGTCTTTTGGTGCAAAGGTGGAAATAGATGTAAGACACAATCTTGTAGACTTTGTTATTTAATAATATTGCTTAGAATGATATATTATTATTTTTAAAATATTACATATACATAACATACACACATATACATATAAAATGTTAAAAAAAAAGGACTTAAGAACTTAAGATAAACATACACTAAATCGAGTAAAAAATATGTGATGAATATTGATCTAAAAATTCAATCTTGTTCAATTTAATTCTGATACAGTTGATTTTTTATCTTATATTTATTAGACATATTTTTTTTACTCGATTTAATAAATATTTTATAAGTCCTAACTTTTTTCTTTTTTATGTAAAACATACATATATCTTTTTATGATTAATTTTAATTAGGATATAAGAATGATGGAATTTTTGTCCAGGGTGGTTTGGTATCAGAAAAGACTTTTGTCACTTCCTACTAGGTTTATGTCCATTGCTCCAAGAATATGGTAATATTTCATATCAACCAAGGGATGAACGAGATCAACCGCCATCTGAACCGATGATCACGGAAAAGAGTGAAAAACTTATTAAGAAATCGACCTAATGAAACCTGTTGTGCCTATAATCTCTATAGACATGCCTGACTGAGTGGCTCAAAGCAGGTATTCATCATAGAGATTTAAGAACTACTATATGGCTTATATATTTTGCAATGTAATATATATATTTTATTATATTTTGCAGGGTTAACTTGTATATTTAAATATTATTTTTAATGCGATTGACTTATATAGAGGCCAAATATCTGATATAAAATAGTCAGGTATACATTTAAATACATATATAAAATATATAATTCAAAATATATTTTACAATCAAACAAAAAGTATATAATTTTCTTAATGTGATATATGTATATATATATATATATATATATATATATATATATATTTCATGAAAAATTGTGGAAAGAAAAATTCCAAATATAAAATAATAGAAAATATAGCTATTGTGCTTACATGTACTTTATTCTAGGCCTTATTAAGTCAAGAGATTATATTAAATGGATGTATATGTTGGCTGGAATATAAGACTGAACACTTCGTATCTCTAGGATAGCAGAATGTCAAAAAAAAAATTAAGAAATTGTAAAAAGAGCTGGATAAATCTAGAAAAGCCATGTTACTGTTAATGTTGCTGGATATTGTAATATTGAATACCCAATCATTTATTATATTATAATGTAGAAATAATGTACAGACTGTTATATCACAATAACATCATGTATGATAGACATTAAATATGGATCTACCGCATTGTGGTAGATAAATACTAGTAAAACATGTTATATATAATAAGATATATATATATATAACATTTAAAGATATAATCTAATAAAATTTCTATTTTTTGGTATCAGTAGCAATGATTTATTAATTTTAGTTACACTATTATCTAATATTTCAGGTAATATAAAATGTGTGTATATATATATATATATATATATATATATATATATATATATATATATAATGTTATCTTAATATATACATATTTGTAATATAATAAACTATATATAATTTCTTTCATTATTAATATATGTAATTTTGTTCAACAACATTTTACTGCAAATATAAATGCTGTGAACAAAAATACATTGAATTTTTTGTTCATTGTAATATTTAAATATTTTTGAAAGCTTTGACACTATATAAAATATAATCAAAGTTAAAACACTATATAAAATATAATCAAAGTTAAAACTTATATAATCAAAGCTTGAAAGTTATGTGTAATTTATGAAAAATATTTTATTTAGTATATTATGGCTAATTTCTTTCTCATATGGAAAATTTATAAATTTTACACGTGCGATGTATATACAACAGTTTGATATCCAATAGAAAATAAGCGAGTTATAACTAACGACATTTTCACTAGAAAATAAATCCTCCTATTGGATATCACACATCATATATATGTCACACATGGACAATAGTTCACAATCAGTCAAGAATACAAAAATCCATTACATACACTATCTGACATCATTGGAATATCAATGATATAAGATTGTTTTCAATACAAATTATTTACATATTTTGCTCATAATTTTCAAACAACTTGCGCTAGACAGATGGATATCGGAGAACTGTTATCTTATAAAGTATGTATTAAAATTTTCGAGTAAGGATTTATTTTTATTATGTCAAACTACTATATGTACACTATTTAATTTAACCTCACATTTTCATATATTTTCATATAAAAAATGAATGAAGGAATATTGATTTTATAAACAGAAAGTGTAAAAAAAATCGTGAAATTAAATACCTCAATAAAAAAAAATATATATATATATGTGTGTGTGTGTGTGTGTGTGTGTGAAGCAAAAGAGGAATTTAATAAAAAAATGTTTGTAAACTATACATTATACTAACTATATATATATATTTATTAAATTTCTTGTTATTTCTTTATTACAACAATATGAGTACAATTAAATACATCATGTGATAATAATATGTGTAGCCTCCAAATACACCAAAACGGCCAGCAGCAGGGGAAGAGGATGATGAGGATGAATGGGAAAATCCGAAAAAACCAAAAAGAGTAATAAAAACTCCATACCATGCACGTCAACGGCAACAAAAAGAAGTTGAAGTAATATCATCTAGGGAGAGCGAACCTCCCACACCTATTAGATCTGCCGTACCCTCATCAACTCATGATGTGATAGAACCACAACTGACGGAGAAGGAGAAACAAGATATATTAAAATATGTAGAAACTGAGGCACCCGAGGTTGAAGCATTAGATGAGGCGACGCTTAAACGTATGATTCTTTTATTTGAGAAGAGAGGTCTTCGAAACCAGGAAATGAGAGTTAAATTTCCAGATCAACCAGAGAAGTATGTATATATAAGTTAGT